GGGATGGGATGGGATGGGCCGGGCTGACTGGCCTGAGAGACTGTATTCAATCCTTTTGTTTCCACCATAGATAAAACCTGTGACTACGACTAAATTATTCAACCTATCGGGGGAATTCAGTTTTCTGATCAGCGAAGAGAAGTATAAACTATTTTGCTTCCAACATACCTTCTAGCTCTCATACCCTATAAAAATATATTTTTTCCGACAGTGACCTCCCCAAAGTCAAATTTAAAATAATTAAGCCCTGGCTGGGTAGCTCAGTTGGTCAGAGCCATCCCAATACCCCAAGGCTGTGGGTTCAGTCCACTGAAGAATCGTAAGTAAGTGGGACAATAAAAATCAACGTTTCTCTCCCGTCCTCCCTCTCTCTAAAAGATAATAATAAAGGTAAAAATTTCAATAAAGTTTCAATACTCAATTCACACTTTCCAGTTAGGAAATGAGATGATTTAGACATGATAAAATAGAGGATTACACTGACTCATGCCTTGCCCAGGCCATACTGAAATGCCATTGTGCAGATTCAATTCTCTGCTACACTGCAGTTTCCTCAATCCTAAATCAATGTTATTATTTTGTTATATTATTTTGTTATTACTTTGTTTCAAGAGAAGTACACGTAAGCTCAGTCCTTTTTATTCACATCAAAGGCCATCAGTTAAAATATTTAGTACTTTCAAGTTCCTAGAAACCCCTTTAAACCACCAAATTAACATAGCCTGTTGATTACATTTTCAAATGTCATCTCCATGATACCTGGACATATTCTCAACTTAAATTTGCATCGACTCCAAACAGCTAGTGTGATTAGCTGATTCCAGTCTCTGAATACTATACAATTTCACAGGGAAAATGTTCTAAACTGTGATCATCAATGTTTCTATTTTTGACAATTTATTAAAATTAATAAAGAGTTTAAAAATTCTACATAATCTGTATCACACTTGAAGCAAAATTCATTGAAAATCAGCCGGTGCTACTGAACCACCAGGACAAGGGCACATTAAGCAGCACCACGATTCCAAGCCAGGTTGTGTCTTTCTCTTTCTTTCTTTATCCCTTGCTCTGTTTTACTTGGCTTGTTTTACCTTCATCTCCTCAACTGCTTTCTGTAACTCCTCGGGGGTTTTATATTCAAAATCTCTCTCCAGGTATTCTTCTTCAGCTTGCGTCATCCACTCATGCATCTCCGACAGATCTTTCTGGAGGCTGACAGTTGTATCCAAGCCTGCCTTTAAGGCTTCCTTTCTGGCATAGACCTTCCAGAAAACAAAGCAGCAAACAAAGCATGACCATTAAAAGTCATAAAACATTACCATGGCGTTATTATTGAGCAGCCTGTAAGTAATAAAATGCTTAGATAGAAGAGACGAAGAAGCTTCCATGAATGTGGAAAATAAATCATGGTGATTGGATACTAATTTCACATAAGTCTTAAGATAAGATATCGCCGTTTACTTGGCGTACTTAATAAAATCAACAGATTCCCCTACGACTATAATTTAGCTGTTGTGTGTGGCAGTGCTTCTCTACAAACAGAGATGACAGAAAAACACGTATTTTCATAATATGTTTCTGTTGGGAAAGCAAATTTATAGGCATACATAGAATTAATAATTCTTTGTGTTCTCTGAGACGGTTTTACAATTTCAAATATTGTGGTAGCAACATTCGTATACCTCTCACAAATCAGAAAGAAAATAAAACAGAAAATGAGTAAAAGATATAGACATGTAATTTGATGAAATAAAACTAAAATGTGGCCGTATATGTAAAAGGATGCTCAGTATCACTTACAGTTAAATGATTGCAAATGAAAAAGAGGTAAGGCATTTTCACATGTGAGAGTGGCATAAAAATAATTAGCAAAACTTCCCAGTTTGGGCAGGGGTGTGGGGAGGCAAAGGTTTCCATACCTGTAGAGGGAAATATCTAACACAGTACAACCTTTCAGACAGTACATTGGAAAATGTTTAAAACTTTTAACCTTCACACATCTGAGTCTACTCTTCTAAAGAATGGCTCATACAAAACAAAGGCGCATGTACACTGCTCAAGTCAGCTGCGGAAAGAAACCTAAATGCGCTTTCATGGAAGGTTAGTTCAGTAAATTATGAGATGTACACACACACACACACACAACGGAACACCATGTAACACCAATACATCTGTACTGGAGTGAAAGTTGTTCAGTATATAATTTTAAAAAAAATGTAGGTTGCAAAAGAGTATTGTGGTAATAGGAGACTTACACTTTGTAAAGCTTTATATGTTTCTGAAACACTAACATTTAACAACAGAATTTATTACTTATTAACCAGAAAAACAGCAAAACAAAACATCTAAAGTAAAATCAGGCATGTTGATGGCTTGTTATAATGTCCACTGTTATACCGCACTGAGGGGAAGCCTCAATTTAGTATCGGAATGATTACAGACAGTGCTTCTCTTTTACCTTAAAAAAGTAACTCTCATCAAATGATGTTAGCCTTCTCTCTGGGATTAAGAGATCTATCTTTTTAAAAAATATATGTTTTGCTTTTTTATTGATTTCAGAGAGAGGAAGGGACAGGGAAAGAGAGAGAAACGTCAATGATGAGAGTCATTGATTGGCTGCCTCCCGCACGCCCCCTGCTGGGGGTCGAGCCTGCAAACCGGGCCTGTGCCCTGACCGGGAATCGAACCGTGACCTTCAGGTTCACGGGTCAATGCTCAACTGCTGAGCCACACCAGCCAGACTAGAGTTCTGTCTTTTAAGTAACAGAGTTGCAATTGTAAAGTCTTAATATGTAACTCATAGTTTTAGTATAATGATGTTTTAATGGTACTTTACCAAATACCAAATATGTGCAGAACCATCATCATATTAATTCCCTTATACTTTACAACCATCTTAAGCCTAATTTAGTTGAATCATAACTATTTTAAGTTAGTCCCCTAGGTGAATGTTGTACCTGATCTACTGAAATGTAAATCTGTTTCACTCCGACACAGCTAGAACATTATGTCTAACAATTATACTAATTAAGGGATAAAAATTATTTTGCATAGTCAAAAACCCTATAATAAGCCTAAGTAAACATGGTGTTTAATTTCCACTTAGATGCTCTGCTGTAATCTTTTGAGGCAGTTGGCAAAATAACAATAATACCAGAGTGACTAATGGAACTTAGCCAAAGGCTTGGGAGTAAAAAAAAGTATTGTGTGCTATAAAACTAAACCAGCCCTGGCCTGTGTGGGTCAGTGGTAGAGCACTGGGATGGCAAAGTATGTTTAACCCTTTGCGGTCGTTTGTCTACTCTCAGCCACCAAAGCTTTTTTACCGTTCCGGTCGTATGTCTGCTCTCAGCCACCACAGCAAGGAACCGTACGAATCTTAACTCCATTCATGTATCAGTTCATAATTTCTCTTGTTTACCCTTCATAATCTTGCATGTTATGTATCACTGCTCTTTCAATGGAAATTAATTCCGACCAGTACGACACCCATGTCCAAATTTAATACGACCGCAAAGGGTTAAGGATATCACACATTTGGACAACTGGGTCCCTAATTATTTGTGTTCTTCCAGACTCGGGCACCTAAACACAAATACAGTTATCTCTAACCTGTGAACACACCACATCCTCATTTGTGTGTAGCCGTTTCTATACAGCATAGACTGACATTTTGTTTCCATTTTCCTTTCTGGGCCCCTAAATTGGTCCCGATACCCAGGCTTGGCTTTTCTCCATGTGCATTTTCTCCTTTCTTTCACCACCACCTAGGTCCCTTGTGATAAAGTCAGAGCACGGGCAGTGTCACATTACAAGGAGAGCCAGAGACATAAAAAACAGGGTGGGCAACAGTAGGTCTACAGTTGTTCGTAAGGAAAAGACATGCGGGTCGTGATTATTACAAGAGCTGCACTGACTCTGTGCTTCACGTGCTCACCCTTGCAGACCGCCTTCCCCCACCCCTGCACTCGGGGGGAGCGTGGCTGGGACCTGGGGAGCTTTTTCCGTGCAGCAGGCTAACGTGTTTACAGTACTTGCCTCGAACAAAATATTCTAGGTACATTTTATTGCAGACATGAGGTCTTAATCAAGGACACTTTAAGAATACAGAGATGCTTTAGAAAGTGCACTTCTCTAACATGTAAAAATCTCAACATTTCAGTAATCTTGTTCACTTCGTACATTTTTTGCTATTGTTTTCTCCCTTGGTCTAAATAAATTGATGTGTTCTTTGTATTAATCCATTAAAACATTCAACAAACAAATACCTCTCATACAGGCCTTCCAGGAAAACATTAATGATATCATCTATTATCAAAGTAATATTTTCTCCTGAACATCCCTTCTCGAGCAGACTTACTCCAGGACAAGACTGCCAGCTAGCTGACCCCAGGCTATTTCATCTCTGAGTTAATGGAACTGTTGAGCATTTGTCAGTGACGGTATTAGCTGGGTGACTTGCTTTGACTTTTACTTATCTACCTTCTTTTCTTTTTCAAATTAAGTTTTTGCCTTTTGGCATGATTTCTATTCAACTCTGAAAAGTTACTTAAAAATAATGAAAGATTAACTGACTCTAAAACACATGAAATGAAACCTCTCATTAATTTTAAAAAAAGGCTGGGGTGTTGAAAAGTAATCACTGCCTTAGGTCCAAATTTCATCTTCCAAACAGGAACTACTGAATATATACTATTTGTGTGTATAATATTTACTTTAATCTCAAAATCAAAAATAAGTATCTATGAAACACTCTGCTGTATAAATGTGAGGAACTTGGATGTGAGTGGACAGTTATTTTATATTTTCCTCCCCTGAGCTTTTCTTAACTATTTCTCAATCTTAGGCCATTTATTGATGCAAAAGATGGAGTCAAGCTTCTCAACCTTAACAATCACAGGGGAAAATTGTTACCCATCCATTTTATTTCTGTGCCAAGCACACAAGTGTAAAGCATCTTTTAATCCAATTACTATTATAAAGGTATGCAGAGAAAATATGCAATCAAAATAATACCGAATTTGACAGTGATATTCAAGGTCATTTTAGAACCCCCAAAAGATGAATATATACTATTTAAAGTATCTAACATAAAAATATTTTATATGCTAGACAAAGATTAGTTTAAATTAACCATGCTTCAAAGCATCAACCATAGTCAGAGACCACACTTTCGCAAAGGGCAGTGATAAAAGGGAGACATTAAGAAATCTTAATTAAATGAAGGCAACCCACAGTGAGAGAGCCTTTACATACCTGTCGGCAAATGTGATCCCACTGAGCGTTCAGTTCTCTAAGCTCTGTGTCAAGCCTGGAAGCAAACTCGGGCTCCGCGTCACTCTTCATTTTCTGTCCACCTTCATTGACACTGTTTAGACTTGGCTCAATTGTCTGAATATCACTGACTAAAAGCTAAGGAAATAATTCAGTTTAAGCTAACTGAAAAAAATTACTTCAGTGTACTAGAACTAAAACATAGACAGGAAACATATAATTAGGAACCATGACATTACCCATACAATTTGTCCTTTCAAATCTGAAATAAATGTAAATACATGCACAAGGCTGAGATATAAATCTTGCAAAAAAATGTTCATAGGTTTTTATGGCACGAATGAACTAGGGGATTATCTATATTTTACTTAGATTAGATACGGAAGGAAATAAATTTAATATTTCTTGTTAAGAAATGTGTGAAAATCATGGGCTTTATATGCTATGGTTTTTGACAGAATTCTGGTTCTGAAACAGAGGATATTACAACAATTTGGTATAGCATGATGGATGTCAAGGTTAGGTATCATGTGGATTTTTTTTTATCTTGTATTTGCAAAAAAAAATACTTAAAGAGCTGGATTATGTTCTCCCCACTGCATGACAATGGTATAAAGAATATTCAAAAATTCAAGAGAATGGAAGACTCCCAAGCTCATTTTATGAGGCCAGCATTAGCCTAATTCCAAATCCAGATATAGACACTACAAAGAAAAAAATTACAGGCCAATATCCCTGATGAGCACAGATGCTAAAATCCTCAACAAAATGTTAGCAAACCAGATCCAGCAATGGATCAAAAAGATCAGACACCATGATCAAGTGAGATTTATTCCAGGGATGCCAGGTTGTTATAATATCCACAAATCAATACAAAAATGAAGGATAAAAACCACAGGATCATATCAATAGATGCAGAAAAAGCATTTGATAAAACCCAGCACCCATTTGTGATAAAAACTCTCAGCAAAGTGGGAACAGACCTCAATGTAATAAAGGTCATATATGACAAACCCACAGCTAACATCATACTCAATGGGCAAAAACTAAAAGCATTTCCCTTAAGATCAGGAACAAGACAGGATGTCCACTTTCACCTCAACATAGTATTGGAAGCCCTAGCCACAGCCATCAGACAAGAATAAGAAATAAAAGGCACCCAAATTGAAAAGAAGTAAAACTGTCCTTCTTTGCAAATGACATGATTCTGTACATAGAGAACCCTAAAGATTCCACGAAAAACCTACTAGAACTGATAAATTCAGTAAAGTAGCAGTATGCAAAATAAACATCCAGAAATCAGCTGCAGTTTTATACACCAATAATGAACTATCAGAAACATAAACTAAGAAAACAATCCCATTTACAATTGCATCAAAAAAATTAAATACCATCCTGGCCAATGTGGCTCAGTTGACTGGGCGTCGTCCCGTGCACCAAAAAGTTGCTGGTTCAATTACTACTGGTTACCGGTCAGGGAGCATGCCCAAGTTTCAGGCTTGATCTCAGGTAGGGGGCATGCAGGAGGCAGCCAATCTATGTTTTGCTCTCACATGGATGTTTCTCTCTCTCCCTCTCCCTTCCTCTCTCTTTCTCTT